CCCAGTTGAATGGCTAGCCATTGTATAACAAGAAAGGATATAATATCTATACAAGACCTACTGTGACTGGTGGTGGAGGGACCAGAAGGAACAGTTTGCCCACTCTGTAGTACCTCTGACTAATAGAAGAGTAGGACAAACTGTAACCTTGTTCTGCCAGCAGTGTGGCTATAGATGTATGAATACAGAGTGGGTAAAATATAAGTACATAGAACACCAGCCCACTAACAAAGATTCATTAACTATATAGAGACACCAACAATGACCTAGCTGCATTGCTCTGGCAGGCAGGGTGTCAGTCCTATTATACACAGGAATACGTTACTGATAGTCCACAATATTATGTGTTGGTTGTTGTGTGCCGTCCCTGCTATGCAGAAATTCGCCCGTGAACAGAAACATTTGATTAGCTAGATAGCAGAGCAGATATCTCAACTCTCCCGGATGTTCCCCGAGTCTCCCGCTATTAGATAGCGGCTCCCGGACACCTGGGAGAGAAACATTTTGTCCTGGAAAGGTTTACTCTGCTTGATCTAGCAGAGTAAACCTTTCCGTGCTGTCTGTTTTTTTTTTTTTTTACATCAGGGCCGCCGGCTGCCGTCAGTCAGAAAAAAAAAAAACGGCATAGGAATTAATAGCTAGATTGCTATTGGCTATTTCACTTTGCAATAGCCAATAGCAGACTAGCTATTGCACCCGCCCACTGCTGCTGTCAATCAACAGAGGTGGACCTGAAGTTCTCCAACAGGTCCTCCTCTGCTGACTGACAGCAGCAGAGGGCGCGTGTAATAGCCAGCTTGCTAATGGCTATTGCAAATTGATATAGCCAATAGCAATCTAGCTATTAGTTCTGATGCTGTTTTTTTTTTTTTCCCTGACCGCAGCAGCTGTCAGAACACTAAAAAAAACAGCAGATGGCAAAGGAAGCATTAGCTTCTTTGCTATCTGCCATTATTTCAGGGGGGTGCTCTCTTCCTTGTTGTTGCGCACCCCCTCTTCACGCAGAGAGGACTGGGGGTTGACAGAAGGCACCTCCCCGAAATAAGAAGTGCACCTCCCTGAAATGATTTATTTCAGGTTGGGATCCCTGAGATAGGTTCACATCTACTGTCATAATTTATTCCTGCTCTTATTTGCTTTAGTAATTCAGGCCCATAGATTTGCATTGTGAGAAGGAGAAGTAAAGTCAAGTTTTTACTACTCTCTTGGGCTTCGCAGGAGAGATTTACCCTCACTTCCTGTCCTGCTGATAATGTTTTACCAGGCAGGAAGTGAGGGGAACTTTTCCACAGCAACACAGACAGAAATAAAAATGATTTTCTTTAGTAGAGTAAGGGAAGGCTAGAACCCCTGTCACATTCTTATTCATATTTGTACCCCGGTTGCAGATTTTCTCCTTACTTCCTACCTAGTGAAAACACTGTCAGCAAGGCAGAAAGGAAGTGAAAGTTAATCTGACAGTAGTAAAAACTAGAGGTGCACCGAAATGGAAATTTAAAAACTGAGACGAAACCGAAATAAAAAAAAATTGTCAGGCTGAAACCGAAAATCAACCTATTGCGTGTGTGTGTGTATAGGTCCGTGAGTGTTCTCATTCTTAAGACTACCTGTACCCCTGTAGATTACGGTCTCAGGAAATCGTCCAAAAGCTTCTTGAATGATTCCACACTATTTGCGTAAATCACTGCTTGAGGCAGCGAGTTCCAGACCCTAACCGTGCGAACTGAGAAGAACCCCCTTCGCCCCTTGTGTTTGAATTTTTTTTCTACCAGTTTTAGGTGGTGACCTTTTAGTCTTTGTTACGAAATTAATCTTGCTATGACTATTGAACATTTTGTACATGAAAATCATGTCCCCCCTTAATCTCCTTACTTCCAATGTAAACATATTTAAATTTAGTAGCCTTGACTCATAGTTCTGGTCTTCCATCCCCTTGATGAGTTTGGTCGCCCTCCGCTGGACTTTCTCCAGCTGTTCATTCATAACATGAGGACAGAGCATGTTTACTATAACCACAATCATGAATGAACAGCAGGGGATGTAGATCACTTCCCATTCATAATTGAGCATATAGTAACCATATTATGTCCTCAATTATGTACAAACACTCAAGGAGGCTGAGCGAGCAGAGCAGGGAGGAGAACTCAGCCTCCTGTGACAGCTCGGGCTGTCTCCGCCCACACACCGCTCTGCCGGACTGTGAACGGAGGCTGAGTGGTGTGGGAGGAGAGACGCCGACCGCTCACAGCGCTCGGCCAGCTGTCACACTTTCTCTCTTCCCCGCTTGGACACAGAGCAGCGCCCAGCAGAGAGGAAAGAAAGCAGGGATGCGCCGATGTATTGGCACAAAATGGCATTTAGCCAAAAGTGCCAATTTCGGCCAATATATTTCGGCGGCCCATATATCGGTGCATCCCTAGTGAAAACCCGACAGGAGTTCTAAGCTTTCCCTACCAAAAACAAGAAGAAAGGTTTAATTATAGAACGCAGTCCATTCTATTATCTAACCTCTAGATGGAATGAACCATAAAGGAAAAGATGTATACTGTATTTTATGTTTTATTCTCGTGTTTAACATTATATGGAATAATTAGATTGATTGATAAAGTGCTATGGGCCTAGACTAGAAAGGGATGGTGCCGACTGGAAAGGTTCAGGAAATAGCTTTGAAAATCATACAAAGCGTTCCAGTCTATTCATATATGTTTATCTCCTCCACAGATCCACGCAGAGGGAACAGTAGATGATGTCTTTGAACAAGTCAGCACAGCCCTTGACGCCTTGAAATAAACAGAAAAAGCGAACAAAAAAAAAAAATGCCTTATTTTTCTGTGTAAACAACATGCTCCAGCCTTATCCTTCAACCCACCCCCCTTCCCCAAAAATAATACAGCACATACTTAAAAACCATGAATAACAAACTCGGCCCGAGTGTCATTCTGTCTGCCTGCAATCACACCATCCCGTCTAGAGACTTAAAGGAATCTGCTCTTCTTCCCGTAGGAAGGTGCGTTCTTCAACCCTGATCCCTTCTGTCTCTCCTCAGAATGTTGATATCCTCACTCTCTTCCTGTTTTCCTGAACAGTAAACCACTCTAAGGAAACACGCGAGGTCTCTTGCCTTGCCTGATGGGGTTTTTTTTTATTGTCTTCTCTGGTTTTTCCATTCTGTCCGGCTAGAGACGTCACTTCGCTGTGCAGGAAATGATCGTTTGAAATATGCATCACCTCAGGGGCCAAGCATGGCTGTTTATCTGCTCGCATGGTCAAAGTGACAGGACCATAAGATTACGGCTAAAGGGTTAAGCTACACTTGGCATTCGGCCTGTTTCCTTCTGGAAGCCTGCAATCTCCTTGCAGAAAGCTGGAAGGTCACCTCTGACCTTGATATAAAGGGACAGGCCATGGTGGGTGGCGGTGAAAAGGAAGAGCCGTAGACCGGATGGTGCTTTGTCTTCTGGGAGGTGTCCAATACGATATGAATTGATTGCATATTTGTGTAGCAGAAAGTGATCCAAAGCTCCTTTAGCATCATCTGAAAGGAATGTTGGAACAGGAAAAGACTTCTAACCTCTTAGCTACCACAAGGTGTCAAACGTTTTGTGTCCATGGTTGGGTCATTGGCTAGGCTTCGGGTCAAAGTTTAGGGCCCGTATCTTAATTATTTTGAACGTAGCAATAACTTGAAGACTTTTTAATATTTGGGAAAATTTTTAAGGACAAGTCTACTCAGAAGTTGATATTGTATTTTGAGGTTGGAGGCGGACACCAGTTAATTGAATTGGTTGTGTTTCTCTGAGGGCATTCTAACACTAAGCTCGCAGCACTTCAGCCCTGCTCTGTTCAATATGTTGTTCTTGGGAGATGCTGGACAGTCAAACCACATGAAAATATCTTGTATGTCTTGGAGATTCTATTGGTGAGATCTCTGCACTTGTGTTCCTGGGTCTGCATACCTGCTGTGACCATTACAAGGGTTTCTTTTTCTCATTTCCTATTATGGAGAATGTAACAGGAGGAGCTGGAACACCCCAAGGTTGGTGGAAACACCCAAAACTCCCAGGAAGAACAGAGTTGGGCATTATTGCACATCTCACTGTCTCACTGCCCAAAGCTGACTCAGCCCAACAGACTCCCAATATAAATAAATAGCACTTTTAGGCAATCCTACCTCTTACATTGCTTGAAAATCATCTTATGTATAGCCAGAGTTAGAAAGGAAGCCTACATGTTACGTAATATGCCAACATCCAAGTAGAAATGCAGTAAACTCCCAGTTATCCGGTACCCACGGGTATCGGTGGATGCCGGATAACTAGTTTCTGGTTGCTTGAGAGTTTATAGTAGCTCTCAAGCCACCCTCCGGGGCGCCCCCTCCCCCTCTCTCTCAGGTCCGCTCCTTTGCTCAGTGGGTGGGTGCAGTAGCCAGCCTGCTTTTGGCTATTGCAATTTGAAATAGCCAATAGCAGGCTGGCTATTCCTCCCCATTGTTTACATTCTGCTACCGACCGCAGAATCTAGCTGCCGACCAGCCGGCAGCAAGATGTGGACAAAGAATTTCGTCAACAACTAAATACATTTAGTTGCTAACGAAAACATTTTTGTGTCCCCATGTCTATCAACCATCCAGCAAAAAAATATCCATGATTGGTTTTGCTGGTTGCTTGAATGCCGGAGATTCTGACTCTTTTTTTTTTTTTTTACCTGTTCACACCCCTTTTTCTCAATTTTTTTAAGCTGCTGTTAGACCCCCACAATTTTGCACCATTTTTCATGGTGAAATCAGTTTTCCATATTAACCTCTTTGTGACCACTGTGATGCTAACACTGTCAGATCCCCACCGCTGCCACCAGAATGTGATTATTATTATTATTATATAGGATTTATATAGCACCAACAGTTTGCGCAGTGCTTTACAATATAAGGAAGACATTAAAATCACAAGACAAGATGGTAGGGAGGGCCGTGCCCATTAGGGCTTACAATCTAAGAGGGAGGGGCAAGTGATACATGAGGATGTAGCTGTGTGGGGATGAAGAGCTTGAGAAAGAGTTCAGTAATTACGCACTTCCAGATTTTGTAGCTGGTGGGACCACAATCCAGCATCTTGACCATGATCATCACTGGAGCAGTTTGACTTAAATTCTGACCTTTAAAAATGTCTATAGCAATGTTGCATATAGAGCCACCGAGCGATGAGGCACCACACCCCTAATACTGAATGATAGGCACAAATAACACTTTTAATGGGGGCTTTTAAGGTGCCAAAACACAGCCATGCAGTATTGTTCCATAAAATCAATATGTTTATTTAAAAGTTATGATTAAAAAACACTAAATAAAAACACATCAAACAATATATACATAATCAAAAGCATTGTGTGTTGCCTCCTAAGTGCATATATGCCATCATATACTTATGCATCACACCTGCCAGGGCCACAGGTTTGGTCTGAGTGGCCCTGGGAGGTAAAATATGGCAAATTCTTTCATGCATAGAAGTTCATTATATGTGACAAGATGATGAGTGGTCTGATCTTCAACGTGTTTCGCATACGCTTCTTCAAGAAGAAATGGAGGCAGTCTGCGGTATTCACAGAGGCAAGGTGAGTATATATCCTTCATTTATACAAATTACACATATGACAACACATTGAGATTGTACTTTGAAATAGCGCATTTATTATATGTGCATTGTTAGCAGAGGATCCACACACAGATAGCTTTCTCCACCTAAAGGCCGCTGCTTTCTGTATCATGTAGCTTTCTCGCTGCCATGTCCAGACAGGAATGTTACAGAGTTTGCTAATATTTACACAGAATGCAAAGCGTTTTGTGAATGGGTGAGGGGGCAGATGAAGACCATCTATCCAAAACTAAAAAAAAAAAAGATATATTGTAAATGTTACAGTAGCAGGAGCAGAAGTTGTGTGTTGGACTGGTATCTCCCATGAGCAGAACCCAAGGGAATGGCTTATTAGGCAAAATATGTCATGCGGAGTAAGGGATCTGCCCTGATAACCCCCCACATCCATCCCCATTTGACATCATAACCTATAAAGCTACTTTTCTCCTGCATCTTTACTCTACACTGTGTTCCAAACATATGCCAAGTACCTCCAAGCTCATTGTACACAGGGGTATTAACTAAATGTTTGCAAGGCATCTCAGTGTAGTTGACGCTTCTATTTTTTAAACATGTTAAAAAGAGCATTTTTGGCTTGAACATTTACTCAAAACTCCCAAAACAATATACACTATATTACCAAATGTATTGGGACGCCGGCCTTTACACGCACATGAACTTTAATGGCATCCCAGTCTTAGTTCGTAGGGTTCAATATTGGGTTGGCCCCCCCCCTTTGCCTCTATAACAGCTTCAACTCTTCTGGGAAGGCGTGCACAAGGTTTAGGAGTGTGTCTATGGGAATGTTGGACCATTTGTGAGGTCAGGTACTGATGTTGGGGGAGAAGGCCGGGCTCGCAGTCTCCGCTCTAATTCATCCCAAAGGTGCTCTATCGGGTTGAGTTTAGGACTCTGTGCAGGCCAGTCACGTTCCTCCTCCCCAAACTCACTCACCCATGTCTTTATGGACCTTGCTTTGTGCACTGGTGCGCAGTCATGTTGGAACAGGAAGGGGCCATCCCCAAACTCCTCCCACAAAGTTGGGAGCATGAAATTATCCAAAATGTCTTGGTATGCTGATGCCTTAAGAGTTCCCTTCACTGGAACTAAGGGGCCAAGCCCAACCCCTGATATACAACCCCACACCATAATCCCCCCTCCACCAAACTTTACACTTGACACAATGCACTCAGGCAAGTACCGTTCTCCTGGCAACCGCCAAACCCAGACACGCCCATCGGATTGCCAGACAGAGAAGCGTGATTGGTCACTCCAGAGAACACGTCTCCACTTCTCTAGAGTCCAGTGGCGTCGTGCTTTACACCACTGCATCTGACACATTGCATTGCACTTGGTGATGTGCGGCTTGGATGCAGCTGCTCGGCCATGGAGACCCATTCCATGAAGCTCTCTACGCACTGTTGTACCAATCTGAAGGCCACACGAAGTTTGGAGGTCTGTAGCTATTGACTCTGCAGACAGTTGGCGACTTCTGCGCACTGTGCGCTTCAGCATGGGCTGACCCCGCTCTGTCATGTTACGTGGCCTACCACTTCGTGGCTGAATTGCTGTTCCCAGTTGCTTCCACTTTGTTATAATACCACTAACAGATGACCGAGGAATATTTAGTAGCAAGGAAATTTCCTGAATCCAGTGATTTGGAGGGGCGTCCCAATACCTTCGGTAATATAGTGTATTTTACTTGCCAAAGAATTTGTATTTATGTTCATCCAGTCCTGAGATTCACACAGCTCTGTCAGGTAAAGGGGACCTGACCTTTTTCTGCTGCAGTTTCAATTTTATTTACGTGTCTTCTCAACCACCCCACCCTGTTACTGGGCTGTGCAAATGAGCAGCAGCTGACTGATAAGCTCATCTCTCTGTCACTCTGCTCCCTCCTCCAATCAGTATGTTCCTTACATTGCAGCACAACTGACTTGCTCCTTGTGCTGTTTCTCTCTCCCCTCTGTGAGCTCTGCAATGCAGTAGGCTGCAATAGGGTGATACCTAGTCCTTATTAAAAAGGGATGTTGCCACATTGCTGAAGGTCATGGCACGGTTAAAAAGCAACTTCAGGCAAAAAAAAAAAGTCAGCCGTGAATAACACAGTTCAAAAAACATTACAGATATCCTAAAGGTAGATATACCTCCACAATGCTTTGCAGTCAAACTGAACAGAGCTGAAGAAAACGCAAAACCGTATTTTTTAGGACAGCATACTAAGGGTTATTATCCTCACATGCGTCTGTTGTAGCCCCACCCTCTTTTTTATTGGTGTCCCTGTTAGGTAGATTTATCCTCTTTTTTTTTGTCCTGGAGACCATTGTCACTGCGATAGAAAGTGCAATGAAATAGAATAGAGAGGTTTTTAACTTTTTGCTGTCTGTATCTCATTTGGGAAATTTTCCTTCGCTTCCTGTCTGAGACAAAATCTCTACAAAGAGAAAGGATTTCCCCTCTGAGACAGTTGTCACTGGAA